ATTGTTTACAATTTATTATGAATGACAAAGGTACATTTTGTTCTTTTGTCCAACTTTGTGATGATGACCTTCACCACACTGCACAACTAGGAAATAGATTTTTTCGTTCAAAATCGGGGAGCTAGCTAAGCTTTCTACTTGTCATTCCCCTTATCACTCATAATCTACAATCTATTTATACATTCAAAGAAATTAAGAAGGCAATAACTGAAGAAGATGGAAGGAAGAAGCTTGGAGAATACTCCGACTTGGGCTGTGGCCGTTGTTTGCTTCGTTTTGCTCTCGGTATCTATCATCATCGAATACATCCTCAATATAATAGGAAAGGTATCTATGCGTACGCCATCCGTATCTGTAACTGTTTAATCTTAATTATCAATACTTTAACTAATCTCTGCACCATGCATCTTCGAGAAGTGGTTGAAGAAGAAGCACAAAAGAGCGCTGCATGAGTCACTTGAAAAGATCAAATCAGGTGTGTCAATCTGAACCTTTTGAGTTTCGTGTGTCACGGATTAAAGCTTGATTACTGAAAATTAACTTTTATTTTTTATTGGATTAACAACTGTATGCGTGCAGAACTTATGTTATTGGGGTTCATATCGCTGCTTCTAACGGTAGGACAAAGTGTAATATCGAGGATATGTATATCGGAAAAGGTCGCCGGAACATTCCACCCCTGCACTCACCAAAGCGACCACAAAACCGATGCCCGGATATTACTATCGGAGCTTTTCGGTTCCGATCATGACCAAAATCCACGCCGTATTTTGGCAGCCGGAGGAAGTGACAAGTGCGCGGCACAGGTATATCTTACTATGTCAGATTTAAGAATATAACTTCTAAGTATCACTTCTGTTTATTTTTTTTAAGAATAACATACGTAGGGAAAACAAAGTAGAATTTTTTTTAAAATATTGATTGAAAATTTAGAGAAAATATAAAAAGGGATTTTATTTAGGAATGAAATCGTTTTTTTTTCTGTCAGTTTTTTCTTAAAAAATATTTAATTTGACTGCTATTGACTCTTCATATTCGTTTAAATGTCTGCTTTCATAGAAAATTCCATGAACATAGGCAAAGGAAGGAGCATTTTTCTTTGTCTTGAAACTACAAATTTTTCAGCAATATTGTTTTGACTTCTGTACCATTATTTTATTTTTAGGTTTATAATAATAAAAAAAAAATCCTATAAATCTATGAAGTTGTTTAAACTTTATCTAATAAAGAAATATTGAAAAAGAATAAAAATACTGTATTTGCACTAATTATTGGATTATCCATAAGAAAATACAAAAAAGATTTTGTATTAATGATGGGATTCTTATAAAAGATCATGAATATACTTTGTAGCTAAAATTTTAAAACTATAATTTTGTAGATTTTTCTTCTATATACTCGACGTAAGATTTCAAAATCATATTTCAATCCTAATCTAACTAGAAACCTAAATTTGGTCTATTAAATATAATGTGTTTTACATGTGAAAATAGGGTAAAGTCCCGTTTGTCTCATCAGAGGGCATTCATCAACTTCATATATTTATCTTCGTGCTGGCTGTTTTTCACGTTCTTTACTGCATTCTCACTCTGGCTCTTGGCAGAGCAAAGGTAACTAACAAAATATATGTATGTTTACTTCTTCTTTTTTTAACCTCTTAACTCTGGTTTACTCATTTTTGTTGAATGAATCTATAATAGATGAGAAGATGGAAACGATGGGAAGAAGAAACAAAAACAGCACAGTATCAATTTTCACACGGTTTGCCTATATACAATTATACTCTTCAAATTTCAAAATGTGAAAAATATTCACGCCTAGCTTCTTGTTCAAAACATTTAAGAATTAGGTTAAAAAGTTGGTTGATTAAATCCTCTCTTTATTATATATGTCTTTTAAGTCTTAACTTCCATTAATGAGTAATAAAGATGTTTTAATTAAAGTATAACAACATTTTATGACAGTTTGAAAGAAAAGTAGTGCATAAACTCACATTTTGTCTGTTGTTTACTACAGATCCAGAACGGTTTAGATTTGCAAGAGAAACATCGTTTGGAAGAAGACACTTGAGTTTCTGGACTCAACATACTGTCCTTGTTTGGATTGTGAGTCTTCTCATGCTTCTCTTTCTTCTTTTTTCTGAGTGCATGTATACATCAAAAAGAAAATACATTTTCTATTAGTATAAAAGTATTTTATACATAATATTTCTCTTAAATGAATCAAACCATTATGAAATGTCGTGATTATTTCATTGTAGCAGAACCTTTTTTTTAACACACATAACAATTTCTTTACTTTACACTTGTTTTTGCTATGTACAGATTTGTTTCTTCAGGCAGTTCGTACGCTCAGTTCCTAAAGTTGATTACTTGACCTTGAGGCATGGATTTATGATGGTAAATCACATTACACTCCTTTACTAATTTCACCAACTAGAATTAGTCTGCAATGAACAATTTATATTCACATCCCTAACATAAGTTTTATACACAGCAAACTTAACATGAAACATATTTAATTCCCTAATGAAATTATCGATGTTTTTTTTTCCTATCAAATATGAAAAATTAATAAAAAACTCTTTGAAAGGTTTTCTTGTGAAATATAACATGAACTCTTTAGGCACATTTGGGGCCTCAAAGTCGCCATAAATTTGACTTTCGGCAATATATTAAAAGAAGTTTGGAAGAAGACTTCAAAGTGGTCGTTGAAATCAGGTTTTGTGCTTGATTTATCCTCACTGTCTATTCCTCCCTTCTGAATTATGGCAAAAGTAGTAAAACCATTGTTCTCACATTCTAATATTTCAGTCCTCCAATCTGGTTCATCACTGTGCTTTTTCTCCTGTTTCACACCCATGGTACTTCTTACACTAACTCACACCAAGCTAAGTAATTTCTCATGATTATGAAGGTGTGTACGTAACTTACGTTTCCTTACATAATTTTTGCATATGATCAGGCTGGTACTCTTATCTGTGGCTGCCATTTGCTCCTTTGATCGTAAGCACATGCAAATTAAGCCTTGGCTTAATCAATAATAATTGATATTTTAATTTCTTTAATCATAATTAACGTGGTGAAAATGCATGTAGATTGTTCTATTGGTGGGAACTAAGCTGCAAGTGATAATAACGAAGATGGGTCAAAGAATTCAAGAACGTGGAGAGGTTGTAAAGGGTGTGCCACTGGTTCAACCTGGAGATGATCTCTTCTGGTTCAACAAACCTCGACTCATTCTCTACCTCGTCAATTTCGTGCTCTTTCAGGTATGAATGCGTACACCACTTTTTCAAAAGCATCAACATCAATCAAATCCAACATTCTTAATTCCCTCGCTGTTATTCAATCAGTGACTAATTAATCCAAGTCTTCTATGTCTCTTTTTCTTGCATGTTCATCGGATCAGAACTCTTTCCAACTCGCCTACTTTTCATGGACTGCGGTTAGTCGTGCTTCTTTTTTTCTACATAAAAATTTCCACACTAAAATACATAAATTCTTTTGCTATATGTAACTATTTCCACATGATCAAGACTGTCGTGTTTTTTACCGAGGTTGATTATACTTATATGAATCATGGAACTTTCTTTTTCAGCTTCAGTTTGGGATGAAATCTTGTTTCCATTCGCAGACGGAGGATGTGGTGATCAAAATCTCAATGGGGTGTGTCCCATTTTCTAGATACATATCTGTTTCATACAATCAACAAAACTCAATAATGAACGTTATTACATTCAACATGACCTTGTACCAATGCAGTGTTGCCTTCATCTTCAGCTATCGTGACTTCAGCTTCACATCTTTCGATAAAAGAATAGAGCTTAATTGGAAGATAATATCGATTTCAGTGAGATCAGCGTTATGGTTTGCTTCGTTTCAATTATACATCTAGGCGGTTTCTGTAGGGCAGAACTACGTATTCAGCCACCGTCCGTATGACGATCTCTCACCAGGAGATTAGATAGTTGATATCTTTATACAAAATGTGATGTACATTTGCAATGTAGAGCGTTGCCTCGACAACCAGGGACGATTAGGGCGACCGAATGAACATGTGGGACTTGTGAGAAGAGGTTCGACTCATTGAAGACCAGAACCATCTATTCAAACGACACGAGGAGCCAGGCTCTGAGAGAGATTTTCGGGAGGGTCCACCACGCAGTGCCAAGAAACGGAACAACCAAGTGCTTTAAGCAACAGATAAACCGTAGATACAAGTCTCAAGACCTACCTGGTTGTCAGGGCCCACAACCCCACGATCATCTGTGTCTCAGGGCCACATCTCTTACGGCCCAGTGGCACATGAGTGAAATGAACACACTATCCGGACCTGACTTTGAAGCCAATCGTCCCCCTGCGAGATTCGTATGTTAAGGCCCATTACAACCAAGGTGCATCATCGGAAATGGGAAATGGATCATGGCCCACCGCATACACATGTGCACTGGACAAAAGACTAAACAACACGAAGATTAATATTGAACATCATGGCATGGAGGAGTTTTCATTTAGGATAAATAGAATGATATAAGATTTTGAACGGGTAGCAACGCGACCGAGTATTAAACTTATTGTATAAAATGTGAAAAACTCGCAAAATAACACGACAGAGGAAAATAATAATCGATCTTTTAGTATATGTTGTAGGTGGCTAGTAGCAGATAGTTGTGGAATTCCCCCGGTTGAATTTCATTGGACAAAGCTTTTGACAGAATTTATATAGACAAAATAAATACAGAAGGAAAAAATGAAATATTTTTTTGTAAAATTTAATCCATACAGATCCTTTTATATATATTTTTTAATTTACATATCAGCTACTTATTAAAAAATTCATCTTTTACATTTTGCTTGTTGCTTTTGTCTTTTAAAAAAAATATTATTTTTCTCCTTAAATTTTTTTTATGGACAAACAATTTGTCTTAATATGTTTAGGAAATTTATTCTATAAGTGTTTGAATTTCGTATTGGACTTATATGTTTTTATCATTATAGGTTTTCCAACGAATTATACACTGATGCCATTCACAATAAAACAATAATGCTTAATATGCATTTATTTACTATAAATAATATAAAAAATCAATATGCAAATAAAAGAATAATGCTTAATGTGTATTTATTTACTAGAAATAATATAAAAGTTCAAATGCAAATAAGATAATTCTTTATCGTTCCAAATTGAAACATTGAGTTTATTAATTAATAATAAAGTAACATTACATTAATTATTACATATATAAGTCATTTCTAATGTTTTTTAATAAACATATCTTTAAATTAAAAGGAGATAACTAATATATAAATATATATTAAAATATCAACAAAAAGAAAGGTTTTATCATGATAACTTTGGGAAATTTTTATCAACTTTAGTATGATAACTTTTTATAATGGAAATATTCATCAACTTTTACTACTTAATATATATCTGTATATGAGTCCAATATTAGTAAAGTTATAATTTGATCTCTTTCAAAGAGATCATCAATACCATTTTGTAAAATCATTTAAGGCTAATGGGGTTCTTCTAGAAATAAACTACATCACCATAAATACCAATATATAGATATCAAATAACATTCATGAGGATTTTTGTAAAACCCTTACTAAAGTCTATATTAGACTTGGCAACAATCCAAGTATATTAGTCACAACATTCAGTAAATTTTGGCAAAATCCTAAGTTTTACGAGGCTACACATAAACTCAGATAGATTTTAGTAAAACCTAAAGTTCTACCAAACACACAAAACATTAGATACCTTTCTTATTTTTATAGTAGTTAATTATGATCAAAATCATATAAATAACATGGAAAACATTTTCTATAATGATTATTTATATTAGTTATAATTCACATGTATAAAAAGTTCTGGATGGCATAATTATAAATAAAACTACGTTTTTTATACTAATTCTAGTTATAACATGTTTAGAAGGTGAATGTAGTGACATTTTTGTAATAAAAAAAAATTTATATCAAAATTAATTATAACTTGTATAGAAAATAGGACATTTTTACAATAAATAACAAAACTTATCGGTTGTAACAGGTATAAAAAGTAAAAGTGGTAATATTTTTATAATAAATAAAAAAACTTTATATATTAGTTTATATTTTTTATTTGTAACGAGAGGTTTGTAATTGTTGGACTATTTTGCATACAAGATAAATCAAGTAATTGATCCACTATGTTAAATGCGTGAAAGTTGTGTGAAAGATTTAGAAATAAGAATTTTGCTGTTTGAAATATTTTTTTATATCAATGGTGTGTTTAACTGGTAGAAAAAGTAACTTTTTATACTAGTTATGGAATTGCTATAGAAAGTGAAAATTTTCTATATCGTCTATCTATATCGATCAATTCTAAAATTAGTATAAAATGTTTATTTTAACCAAAATAAAAAGTCTTTTTCCGCTGGTGAATGTTTTTTAGATTTTTATCAAACCAATACTATATAGACTGTTTTGATTGATGATTTGATGTGCTTGATATACTTTTTCTATTACTATATTTTGGTTAAATTTATTTATTATATCAAATATATATATATATATAAACTTTTTATTATTTAATTTGTTGCTTTTTTCATTGGTACAAAAACTTACTTTGTACATGAGTTATTTAGCGTCAATTTTGGATTGATGTAGGTACCACAAATATAATAAGTATAAAATCTCTTGTATCATTTGTAAAAGACCCGATGTAATATATGACATTGAAGTGAAAAAAAAATCTTTCATTCATCTCCCTTGCGCACTTCATCCCATAGAGAAGGGGGCACACAACATATTCTAGCCATTCATCATCATCCCATTCATTCAGATAGCACAACACAAAAAAAATGAAAAAAGATCAAAGGTTACATAGAAGAAATATTTTTCAACGCACAAAAAATTCTTACACAGAAAAGCACATAACCAACAAGTAATAATTGGAACCCTAAACCCTAAGGCTATCAAAAGTCTCTATTTGGTTATGGGAAGAAGAAACTAAAGACTCACCTTTCTACCACTGACATTAGAGATGACACGAGTGGGATAGGAGGTGAGCAGTGATATAAGTGAAAAAGGTAGCAAGCGATAATGAGAGACTAAGCGAGAGAAGTAACGAGCCTCGAAAAGAGACCCTCTACTAATGTGATTGTGAAAACGACAATAGAAGTTGCATTAGTAAATCACGAAGAACGACAAAAGAAAATTTAAAACACTTGAAAATCACACAACAAACAAGAACACTAAAAATCAATAAATAGTGAGAACGAAGGAAAAAATTGAACAAAAATAAGATTGAAAAAGATGAAATTATATTATAATTATAATCATGCTATATGCTATAGCATTTTTATTTCACATCAATTTCGTTAAAACCAGCATAAAATGTTAGTGCAATTTTTATGTTTTGTGTTAGTGTTTACTCATTATATTATTTTTTTTTAAATAAAGCTTAGAGAAGTTCGAAAAATTATGGTCTTGGTGACTCACAAAATTTGACCAAAACCAATCACTATCCTACAGATTGTTGAAATAGATTATTATATAAATAACATCTATCTATTAATAATTAATCTAAACAAATTTTTTAACAGGATTTAAATAAGAGAAAAAATTAAAAGAAACATATAAATAAAAGATATATTTTAGATTAGACCGGTTACTTCAAAATTAAGGGGTTAAAAAGGTATTTAAAATATGATTTATTTTGTACTATTTTGATTGATGATTTGACGTAGACCACTTGTGGTAATATTTGAAAAAGGAAAAAAAGTTATTATAAAATAAATGTTTTGTGTATTAAAACACTAGAATGACGTGCAGAGTGGGCAAGCGCACCTAATCTTCCAATGCATTGGATACTGCTGATGACGCCGTAAAGGTCAAAGGATCTATGGTCGCAAACAAATTAACACGTTCACCCGTATGTGAGAATCGGTTTGGATTTAGATTTAATCTAATAAATATTGTATAATTTGAATTTAATATATTAAAATTTATATTTGATGATTTAATTTATTGGATTAATCTCGGATTGTTTAGATTATAGGTTAATTCGATTAGATCTTTTCTATTGAAGACAATGACTGCTTAATTAGTTTGCCAACTCTGACTGTTACCATAATTGAAACTAGATAAGGAACCGTGTATATTACGTGAAAAAAAAAAACTCAATCAACGTTTATAAATTATAAGTAACATTATGCAGTATAATTTTTTCCTCATGTAATGCACAGTTAATTTTTACGGTAGTAAATTAAAAAAATTGACTATATACCAAGTAGAATATTATAACTTAAATCATAATTAATATGACAGCCGAAATATCTAATATATATAATTTTTTTACCTTATTAGTATGGTCTAAATTAAAAATAATTATAGATAGGGTGCTACGCATAATGGCAAGAAGTGGCTACAACTCTTCTTCTTTGTGATAAGTTGAATTTGAATTATATTTTTCTTTGGGAATTTCGAGGAATTAATTTAGCAAGGAAAGAAAGTGCGTTTGAATGCAAGTAGGTGCAGAATAAGTTATAAGCCCACTTGCTGAAATTAAAAAAAAAGGCATAGAACTGATCAAATAAGTATTCATGAACATTAAAAACTAAAATCTAGCTAGGCGTATATTTTACTTGCTGCGATCGATAATGACTTAATTAGAGGGTTAACTTTCTGTATAAGGCTTGTATAAATGCTGCCACTTAGTTGACTGACCTTTGGCCTGCCAAGCAAATTCCCATCCAGATTCCATGATAATACTAAAAAATCTCCAATTTTCTTTTTCTCAAAATACACAAGCTATTTTTTGTTTTTTTATTAGATATATTATTAATCTCACTAATTTAGAAACTACTATTAGTATTGTCGCACACCTACTTATTTTAAAAATAT